CCGCTAGCTGACCGCGCAGAAGCGCCACGTCGCAGGCCCAGCCGAGCCCGGGTACTGGTGCTGCCGCTGCCGCCAGGCTAGCCAGCAGAGCCGGCCGCCACGCCCCAGCCCGCAGCGCTGCAGCCTTGGTTCGGGCCGCTTGCGGAGACGCGGGTGGCAGCGCCAGCAGCAGCGCCCCGGCCTGGGCTGGGGGAAGCACGCGCCGCAGCCACTCGCAAAGCCCAGGGAGTCCGCCCGGCCTCAGGGGGAACACGGGCGGTGGCGCCTCCTCCAGCACCTCCCAAGTCTCATCCTCCGGGCTCAAGGCGGCTGCACGCTCTGAGTCCCCGCTGCTCGACTGCTTCAAGCCACCAACCTGCTGCAAACTCTCACTGCCTGCTTTTCCTGAACTTTCCTCACTGCCTACTTTTTGCGATCCAGAGCTATGTTTCTCCCTTCCCTCGCTGCGCGAATCCTCCGACGCCCCTCTGCCTGCGTTCTCTAAATTCTCGCTGCTGGGCTTCTCCGCCTTTTCTTCTTCCAGAGGCTCGGGATCCTCGCCCTCTCCGTCTGTTCGCACGCAGACCAGCGGCGCATCTGGTAGCACCAAGGGCCGGACCTGGGCCCAGTTATTCTCAGTGGGGGCTCCAGGGGTGACGAGGATGAGGGCGTCGTAGTGGGTAGGGTGGGAGGCGGCAGCAGTGCCCACAGAGCCAAGAGGCACAGTCCAGAACATCACATTAGGGCGCTCTGGGGCCGGGTATGGCGTGGGCGCCACGGGCTCTGAAGCAGGCGCGGCACCTGGGTCCCCGGGATCCAACCCGAGCAGCACATCCAGCACACGGCCCATGTCAGCTGTGCCTGCAATGGCCAGGTCCAGCCGCGCACTGCCCAGTCGCTCCAGGCTGGCGCGAACCCACGACAGCGCTGCCTCCAGGCCACCGGTCTCGAAGGCTTCACGCACAGCCTCCAGCTCTGCTGCGCCCAGCACCTCGAAGCCATCTTGAGCTGGTGGCAGGAGCCTGTGGGGACAGGAAGGGATGGGGTGAAGGGCAGAAGAGGGGCTAAACGCTGGAGAACTGGGCTATGGGTACAGGTCGGCGCTATAAAGACAAGGGTGGAGCTTTCTGAATAAACCCCAAGTGAGGTGTGAGCAGGAAGAGGGAGGGGCGACTAAGGGCCCAGCAAATAGATATCAGGGCTATGAAGAAAACGGAGGGGCTTAAAGCAGGGATGAGGTGGCTTGACTGAGGTCAACCTAAAATCGAGACCCCCGCTAAGTATCCCCAGGACGGAGTATTTGGGAGCAAGGCTTTAACAAGGAACTTGCAAGGTTAAGAAAAAGCTATGCTGGGCGCGGCAAAACAGAGTGGGGCTTCGAGCAAAATCATAATCTCAACCGTACTGTGGACTAAATGAAAGTCTAGCACTATTCACGATTGCACATGGGCCAAGCCACCAAGTGCGCTCTGAGGCTGGGTGTAAGGAGGGGAGCAAAGGGGAGAAGCCTCATCTATTAGTTCTCACCAAGGGGGTGTGGCTAAAGAAAAGAGGAACAGAGGGCCCGGAGAAGAGGCTGTCCCCCTCTCCCAGCCTCATTTTGAGGTCCATGAAATGAGGCAGCTAGGGGTTGGGGAGAAAATTCAGGAGGTAGCCAGCAAGTGGGCACAGAAAAGAAAGGGGGTTAGAGTAAGGACGTGGAGGAGGGCACGCAGAAATAACAAAGCTCACTGAGGGTTTGCCTTGAGGGTGACTGCGGTGGCTGGAGAACCAAGCTGATGGAGAGGACGAGAGACTCGAGGGTGGGAGTCTCCGTGTAAAATCTCCGTGAAGGTCACAAGCTTGTGAGGGCCGAGACCTTTCCTTCAAACTTTTGCCTGAGGGCAGTCTTTGGGTGACAGGTCCTGGCCTCTCCTGGAATTCGTTAGTGAGTGGTGCTTGAGACCTCAGAGCGCTAGGAGGAGGCTGGACCTGGATGACAGGTCTGGACCTCCAGCTGGCCCTTGGCTAGGGCGGGACCTAGGTGACAGAAAAGGGTCAGACACGAGGACTTGCTCTGGTGGAGCCTCGTTGACCTCAAAATCTGCACTTAAGGGCGGGACTTGGATGCGGGAGCAGGGCCTCCAGCAGATATCTCTTTAAGGGGAGCCCCAAACTCGCTAGAGGCGGGGTCTCGCGGACCTCAAAGAGCACCTCAGGAGAGTACGGTCTTGATTGAAAAATCAGGCCTCCCCTACCCATTCTGAAACGCCGCGCTCACCTCTGCAGCGCGTCCGCTTGGCTCCGCAGCGCCCCCCGCAGGCGCTCCAGCTCCTCGCAGCTGTCACTGCTGCTGCAGTCAGCCGGCAGCACGAAGAGGGGTGCGGCTCCCAAGCCCGCGCTGTCCAGCAGGGCCGCTGTCTGATCCCGGGCCTGGGCTTCATTCCGTGGATCTCCAGGACGGAGGTTCAGCACAGCCAGCAGTGGGGTCCCTCGGGCCAGGGCGGCCCGCGCTGCCTCCCCCAGCGCTGGAGCCAAGGGCTCGCTGTTCCCCTCCGGGCCTGGCAGCACCAATACCAGCACGTTGGCCTCCGCCGCCCATGGCCCCGGCGCTGCGGGTGGGCAGCTCAGCTCGCCCAGAAAGAGGCCTGGGCCCGCAGCTCGCAGGCTGGGGATCCCGGGGTCTGACCGTCCATCGGGGATCTCTACCATCTCCACACCCCTGTCGCACAGCTCTGCGATGAGCGCGGACTTCCCTGAGCCCGGAGGCCCCAGGAACAAGGCGGTCACGTCACCCCGCGGAGGAAGCATAGCTGGAAAGCAAGAAGTGGGGAAGACCCGGGTCAGGGAGCACCCAGCCTTTTTCTTTCCTAATCATCTCACTCTGGTCCCAGACTTCAGTCCTCCACCTAGAAATCCGGCGCCCAGACCCTATTCCCCAGGGAGCCGGAGTCTTGTCCGACCCTCACTCTGGATGAGTTTCCCTTTCTTCTTCAAACACTGAGCAATCTAGTCTCCAGCCCCGTCCTCCCTCAGGGACACAGATGTTTTTATCCCCCACGCCTCCCTTCCAAATCACCAACCGTGCGAACAGCCGGCACACGCGATCGCGCAGTTGTTGGCGGTGGGTCAGCTGCTGAGAAGCCCCGCCCCTAGGTCAGGCGGACGGAGCCCGAAGGGGCTGGAGCGCTGGGATTTGGGGACGTTCAGACAGGTTCGGGGGGGCTCTAACCTGACGTCACTCCTTTTAGGAGGGGGTGTGTCTGGGAAGCGTGATCTCGGGGACACAGCCCTTTGCAGCGCCTGCGCAGAACGGCCAGAATGCGCTCACTAACCAACTGCTGCCGCCGCAGGGCCGGGAACAATGAGGGAGCCAGAGAGCCTGCGCACCAGGAGCATCTAGCACACGCGCAATAAGCTTCGGTCTGTACGGCACGGGTGGCTCGTAACGTCATCATAACGCACCCCAGTGCAGAGAAGGACCTCATCGGTTGTTTTTTTTTTTTTTTTGAGGCCCGAGTAGGCGACTGCATCACTGCCGGATGGCAATCCGAGATCCCGGCTTCGAGAGGCTCATCAGGCGAAAGGGCGTGGAGACCACCCGGACCTTGAGACTCCGTGGCCCTACCCCGCTTCTCTCCGCGCGGCGGCGCTGTGGCCAGCAACTGACAGGCGCGACGAAAGGCAGCCCTCTGCTGTCTGGAGAAAAGCGGAGGCCTGGGTTACCCGCCTGAGGAGGAGGGAGCCGAGGGCAATGCTTGAGGCATCGGGACACAGCGGCTGAAATCGCGCGTGGGAGGCAGGGGATTTGGGTCAAACAAGAGTGACAGGATGTCAGAGAAGGATGTCTCCCGGGAAGAGGCAGGCTAAAGCGTTGGGTACCACTACCTGCCTCAGGACACGTGGGGGGAAAAGGATGAGGATGGTGTCAAAGATCAAGGGTTCCACGCTCTGACTTCTGGGAGCTAGTTTTGATGTAGGTCTTAGATCTCACACAGGTAAGATGGCTCTAAGGCAAGTCACGAACTGAGGAATCAAATCTTTTGGACGGGTTAAAGCTCCTCTAGTAAGAGCTCCATCAGGTTAGAGTTCAAGGAGATGGTATCTCAGTGGGGTGGGGTGGGGGCGGGTAAAAGGCGGGCAAGGAGAGCCTCTCTTTCAAAGGTCAGAGGATTAGTGGGCTCTCTAAGGCTGGCGACAGATGAGCGACTTCATCTTACTTACTATTCTGTCATGCGTACTCCAGAGGGGTCCCAGTCACCATGGAGGACCCAGCCTCCCGAGAGACCATGGAGCAGCAGGATTCATCCAACGAGAGGAGCACCCGCAGTAACAGAGGCAACATCTGTGAGTACTACTGGCCAGAGGATGCGGTGCAGGAGATGGGCTAAACGGCTTTCTATAGTGTCGATGCAGGGACGTGCCTGTTGGGGAGCTGTCCTACCAGGAACTGGCACTCCCCATCCTCACCCTTATTACACTCAGACGCACCCACCCTGCTCTATCCACATAAGTGTGAATGGGATGCAGATCAGAGGGACAAAGTAGCATCCAGAGCATTGGGGCGGGAGATGTGGCTGGGAAAGATCAGAGATGGCGAGAAGAGCCCCAAGGTTTCAGTCCCAACTCTGCCTCAGACTTTCAGTGCGACTTGGGCCTTGGTTTCTGTCTGTCAAAGGGGTTGCTACTACTCACCTCACGGGAGTTTTGGGGATTAGCGGCAGAAAAGAGCAAAGCTTGAGGCTAATTGAAGGTGGCCAGTTTGACATAATAATAGCAACAGCTTCTATTGAATGTTTACTTTGTGCTAGGCCATTAACACTCATTATCTCTTTCAGTCCTCCTAAGAGACCCTTTGAAACTGGTTATTGCTACTTTAAGATGAGGGAGCTAAGGCAAAGAGAATCTAAACATTTGTAAATTGAGCCAGTGTCCATGCTCTCCAGCCAAAGACCCCCCTCACACCTACAGGGGAACAGCTGGGTTTATTGCTCACAGCACTGAGGAAGCACACACACCATGGGGGCATTGTGGGGCATCTCTGTAATAGAGCATTATAAAAGACTGATCAAGGACTAGCGCTTTTGGTAGGTGGCTTTGGAGAGGGTTCAAAGAAGAGAGGTTTTGCTCTGGACTGGATGGTGCCAGGAAGCTGGGGGAATTATATGGTTGGCTGTCTTTAAAAATCTTATCTAGAAGGCAGAGGAACAAAGCAAGGCACAAGCTGTGATTGGTAAAGCAGCAGAAGCCACTCCTATTAGGACTGGAGGGTGTTTGCTCATTTTTGTGGCTCAGACAACGTTCACCTTTTGTCTGTGTTCAGAAGCTACTACTATGGCATGGTCTTGTCCTGATTCATGTCAGTCACAGCGTGGCCTTGTCTGAAGATGTTCTGTGACATTATTTATGTTCAAAAGAATGTCAAAGCTGACCGATTCCCCAGCCGGCTGCTGGCCGTGGAGCTGCTTTTCTCTTTCTCAGTAGTAGTAACTGCAAACCATTGTGTGGGACTGTTCTAAGCACTTATTTAAATTCGCTTGTTTATTCCCTACAACAACCCTATGAAGTACATACTGATATGGTTCTAAGCCCCCCATTTTCCAGATAAGGAAACTGTTGCACCTGCCTAGCAAGGAGAGCCGGGATTCGGTCCCAGGCAGTCTGGCTCCAGAGGCTGTTTCAATCACACAGCTCTCCCGGAAGCACAGACTCCTGGGTTCCAGTCCTGACTCCTTTTCATTTCCTAGCCTCATGACTGTGGGCAAGTTGCCTAACCTTTTTTGAGCCTCAGTCTGCTCATCCATAAAACAGGTCCAGTAATAATCTGCCAGTACCACTGTCCAACCCTGGTGTACAGCCCGGCACATAGTAAGCCCGAATGTTAATTGCTGGCATGACTCTGGGGCTTGGGAGAGGTCCTGGAGACTGCCGCTGGCCTCCCCCGACTTCTCCCCACGTCCCTCAGGCCATCTGGGGGCCCTGCAATGCACCCGCTGCCTCATCACCTTCGCCAATTCCAAGTTCCAGGAGCGTCACATGAAGCGGGAGCACCCAGCGGACTTCGTGGCCCAGAAGCTGCAGGGGGCCCTCTTCATCTGCTTCACCTGCGCCCGCGCCTTCCTCTCCTCCAAGACCCTGATTGCCCACCAGCGTGGCCACGGTCCCGCCGCCAGGCCCTCCCCACCAGCTGCACCCGGCACTGGCCAGCCCACCTTTCCCTGTCCTGACTGTGGCAAGACCTTTGGGCAGGCCGCTTCTCTGAGGCAGCACCGCCAGATGCATGACGCCTGCACCCCTCCAGGCCCCTTCGCCTGCACTGAGTGTGGTCAGGACTTTGCCCAGGAAGCTGGGCTGCATCAACACTACATCCAGCATGCGCGGGGGGAGCTCTGAGTGCAGCTTCAGTCCTCCCCGGGGCAATCAGGGCCCAGTTGCTGGTGCGACCCACCTGATACGGGATGGGCCCTTTGAGGGATTTGCTTCCCTCCCCGGAAAGGCAAAGGGCTCCTGATAAATAAGATCCAGAAGATGCTTATTCTAGGGTTTCAGTCCTTGGAGGACACAAGGACCTTCAGGGAAACAGTAAAATCAGACAATAGTGACATTCTTATTTGTTTAAAAAAAAAAAATGAACAAGAAAGAGGGAAAATTGTTATTTGCATCTCTCTCATTCCCAGTTAAACAGTTCGACATCACAAGTAGCTGCAGATTGTGTAATCACCTTTAATTCTTCCCAGATGGATGCTGGACTGTAGAAACAAATTGCCCTGGACTTGTGCCTGAATGGGGACAGGGAAGGAGAGGTGTTGCTGGCCTGTAATGCCACCAGACGGGTCACAGACGTGGAGCAACTTGGGCCTTTAGGGATAGGGCAGCAAAGTTGGAACTGTACTGAGTTACATGGGGGGTTGTAATTCAAGTTCTTGTCTCCCCCTATCCCCTGCCAGCCTTTCCCACTCAAGGAAGGGCCATGGCATTGGATGGCTTCCCCCTCCCCCAATAATTTATTGCCCATTTTAATAATTTTATGTACCATTCTGATCATGAAAGATTTTTTATATGTGTAAGTGAGATCGCGCGAATAAACAGAAATAGTATCTAAAAACAGAAAAGGTCTACATTAAGGTATCTAAACAAGAAACTCTGGCTTTTTATCAGCAATTCCCAGAGAACACAGGAAGGGAGTGAGGAGTCGGGGGGAGCTCAGGGCTGAGCCAGACTGGCCCTGTGAGGAAACTGGTTTGGAATCAAACAGAGATACCTTCTGTTTCCTGTTGCATTTGGCCAACACTGGAAGATCTCCCATTAAGATCCAATTTTCAGCTCTTAAAGGTCCAACCCGGGACTGAGTCCCACAGGGCCAGCTTTCCTGCCTTACATTACCTACCTTGGCCCTAGAGACAGTGGCGATGCCCTACATACATAATCATAGATAGACTCATTTGAATTGAGGGGTGTTTTTAAAGCCTACAGTAGGGATGGATGTAGTAGAGACTGACAGCTGTCTCCCCAATTTTTAGCTAGGCATATGGTGGCCACAAAGACTACATTTCCCAGATTCCCTTGCAGCTACATGTGGCCCCGTGATGGGGTTCAGGCTACATTTCTGGGTAGAGCCCTCAAGCTTCAGAAAGGGATGTGCCCTTACTCTACCTCCCTGCCTGGAGTGTGGACACGGTATCTAGGCATCTTGAACCACGAGAGCAACACGTGGGATGGCAGAGCAACGAGACAGCAGGAGTCCCGGTCCCTGGTCAACTTCATGGAGCAGAGCCATCATCCCAGCCCTAGGACATCCACCACTTCCCTATAGTCTTGTAAGAGAGAAATAAACCTCTGTCCCATTTAAGCCACCAATAGTTTGGGTCTGTCACATGCAGTATAGTTTATAGCCTGAGGCATTAGTTTGCAAACTCCAACCAAATCCAGCCTGCCTCCTGGTTTTACAAATAAGGTTTTATCAGAACGCAATCATACTCATTCATGTACATATTATCCATGGCTGTTTTCACAAAGAACAGATTTAAGTAGTTGCAACAGAGATCACGTGGCCCACAAGGCCTAAAATAGTTACCATCTAACCCTTTACAGTAAAAGTTTGCTGACCTCTTCTCTAACTGACAGACATACCACCTACTCTGAGCCTAGAAACAAACGTGTTCAGGATTTGGGGCAGGGCCAGCTAGCCTGGATTTCTGCTGGAATGACTTATGGGGAAACTGATTTGGAGTCAGTTGGCCATCACTTTTTTCTGAGATACCAACTTCACCAAAGCTAAGTATTTCCTCTGGCGCCTGGTGAAAGCCCAGAAGCTTCCGACCACCCCGCTCAGTGGCTACCCCAAACCCAAACCTAAGGACCCGACCCCACATGCTCTCCTGATAGACAGCTGCCTGCTCAAGCATGCCCTTGGCTTCCTGCGGTCTCTACTCTCCAGATGTCGGATCCCCAAACTTTAAATAGCATCACTGGTGACTCCCAAATCTTTATCGTTAGCCCAAATCCCAAACTTCCCTCAACATGAGATACAGCCACTTGGACGACAGATGTGAGTTGCAAACTTAAAATGGGTCATCTCGACTCCTGCAGCCCCCTACCTCCACCACAACTGCCACATTAGTAAAACTGTGCGTTCTACTTCTAAATTCTTTGAGTCTACTTCTCTCCCCACTCTAATTGCTCCCCTCCAGTCTCCATCACAGACCACCCCCTGTGTGTACGTAAATCAGCTTGTGTCGCTCATTTAAAACCCTCCAATGGACCCAAGCATACCTCCACCTGGGTCTGTCCCGCCATGGCCTTCCCCTCCTGCCGGACAGAAAGGTCCTGACAGACTCAGACTCAGTCCCTTGAAACCGGTGGGACAAAAGAGATTCTCTTTTCAGTAGTTCTAATAAAATTCCCAGAACTGAGTTACATCAGGGAAGAAAGAAAAAACCCCTCCAATGGAATCCCATAAATAACACCCAGAGACTCACCCAGGCCCACAAAACCCAACAATGACTGGGCCCCAACCCACTAAGCAATCTCAACTCTCCTTGCTCTGTCTCCTTCGCTGTACTCCAGCCACACACGCCAGGCTGGCTTCTGCCTCAGGGCCTTTGCACTTGCTATTCCGGCTGCCCAGAGAGGTCCTGCTCAACCTGCTGGGCTAAAGTAGCACTTCCAACTCTTACCCTGATTTAATTTCTT